TACTGTTATGTGGCAATTTTCTAGCAAACAACATATAGTGAATTTGTGTCTCAATTCACTGTCAATCTACTCTCAAATTGTCATATATGTATCATTTACACTTAATGTAATTAAGAGTAAGTTAATGTCTGTATTTACTTTTTTTTCTCTTTTTCCTAAGTTCCTGTAATTTTCCTCAACTACTTTTTAGAACTCCAGTTTGGTTTATCTAGTGTTTTCTGAGTATCTCTCTAGTAGCTGTACTACATTATATAGACATAACTTGTTATAGTCTACTGGTATTATTTTACTGACACCGACTTTAGAGCTGAAGCACAGAATCCTTACTCCCTTTACTTCCTTTTACTTCCCTGCATTCATAGTATAATTGCCTTACGTGTTTTTCCAACATTAATTTAGAACCCTAACCCTAAGTTATAATTTTTGCTTCAAATGGCAACCATAATTTAGAAATTGAAAAGGAAACCCAAATACATTGTTATTTACTTATATGTTTCCTTCCTATTTGTCTCACATATTTGTTACACTTGTGGGACCTGGGAACAAGGCCCCGCCAGGCCTGCTGTCTGAGGAGGCTGCTTCTTGGTACAAAGACGGCGGCCCTCATCCAAAGGCTCCTCGCCCTGGCAAGCAGATTCCGACGCACACACATGGGGGAGAGAGGACAAATCAGACCACGGTGCCATTCTAAGACTCACTCTTTTAATGTCTCCTTCTGTTTAAAGAACCTCCTCCAGCCATCCTTTTGGGACATGTTTGCTAATGACCAATTTTCCTATTTTTCCTTCCCCTTAAAGTGTGTCTTTGCTGCACACAGGATTACGGCTTGATGGTTTCTTCCACTTCAGCATCTAAGAAGTATGAAGCTCCCTTCTGCTGCCCTCACTTCTGACATCAAACTTCCTATAATCCAAACTGCTTCTGCTCTGTGGATTAAGTGTGACTGGTCTCTGCTGCTTTACAGTTTTAAAAAATTTCAGCTGTAAAATGTCCATTTTAACCTTAGTAGCTTGTATTTCTTTGCTCATATTTCCCATTTCTTTGCTGAGACTCTTAATTTTTAGTTTCTAGCATATTCACAATTGCTCACTGAATCACTTTACTTTAAAAATCTTTGCCAGGCAATTCTAAATTTTCTGTCATGTGGTTGATTTTTTAAGTTCAGCTTGAGTTCCCAATTCTTGTAATGGCAAGTGATTTTCAACTGTAACTTATTTAGATTATTACAAGATTCTGGTCTTATTTATACCTTCTGTTTTAATTTTTTTCCTGTCAACACCTCTCTAGCAGAGTAAGAGGGCAGAGAATCTATCACTTCCAGTGGAAACAAAGTTTTCCCTTGGACTTGGTGACAATCAAGCAGGAACGAGGGCTTACCCTTGCCCCTGGGCAGAGTGTGATTTCCAGCTTCCCGTCAAGACTGCACTACAGCACCCTGGCTAGGGAAGCCTCATTACCACGCTGAGTATACGTGGGTCAACGCCACAGGATGGGACTTTGCTACTTCAGGTGGTGGCAAAGGCCCTGTTGCTGCACTAGGCCCCTCCAGTGAGGAGAACAGTCACCTCTGCAGTCTCCAGGCTGGGGCAGTCTCCACCACTGTGGGCAGAGGAGGGAGTGGAAAGGGAAGACAAAGAAGGAGCCTTTCTCAGAAACCCCACCCCCTCTTCACGCAGAGGGCCGGGCGCAGAGGCCTGGGCACAGAGGGCTGGGCACAGAGGCCTGGGCGCAGAGGGCCGGGCGCAGAGGCCTGGGCGCAGAGGACCGGGCGCAGAGGGCTGGGCGCAGAGGGCTGGGCGCTGCGGCTCTCTCTGGGGTCTCTGCAGGGTACCTGAGGGTGGGGCGAGCCTGGGGCTGTGCTATTTCATTGCAGTAGAGGATTATTTTGGTTTTTTAGGCTATACTTTCCTGGTTGTTTAGCTAAAGAAAACAAGACTTTTCTTGTCTGTGTCACTGGTGTTTTGTGTTGCCTGTTCCTCCAGCACTCAATCTGGAATATATTAAGCAAAACAAAAATAAACAACACGTCAGCAACTCACCGTACCATGTTCTCTGAGGTACCGAACCCCTCACTGGTCCACCCTCCGGCCCACCTTTCAGAGTCTTCCTATATTCATCTTGTTTGTTCACTGCGTAACTCTCAGGGTTTCAGCTGTCCTTAGCAGGAGGAATAAACAGGCCGACCCTGCTTCCTGAAGGTGTAATCCTGCTGACTGTGCAGCCTCTTCCCTCCCCACTGGCAGTCAGCCCACTCACCCTCACCTCTGGAGAGCTCCCGTGCTCCCCTGGCCCGAGTGGCCCTGCACTGACTGCCTGCACCGCTGCCTCCTCTCACTTTGTTCACAGATACTCTTCTATTCCTTCCATGCTTTAGTACTGAGTTAAGAGTCCATCGTCTAGGAGAAACTGGGCCAGTTAATCTGAGTCTCAGTTTTCTTATTTGTGACACTGATGTCTGTGGATGACACTGGACCCTTGATGACTTCACAAGATTTTTAGTAAGTATTAACTTAAAAAGTGGGAATGAAAAACTACAACATGTGTGTGAGATGTTAGGGATTACTAGGCTGCATATGTTTTGTGTGAAATCTGCATCCACTTTATGAATTATAAAGTCTCTGAGACAGGGATAAATCCCAGCTGGTTTCCCTGTATTTCCCAGTAAGAACGAGACTCAAGTGTAGAACTCCTCCGTTCTTAGACCTGCACCCTGGATGTTAATATTTAACTAGCAGACCTAACCCAGGCCTCGGCTTCCACAAACAACTGCTGCTGGTGCCACCTCACATTTATGCCCACGGGCACCATGCGCTCTACAACGCATGGGTATCTGTGAAGACGATGCAACTGCTGTTTGTTTGCTTGTTTGAGTGATCTGTGGAGCGGGGACAGGGCAGCTGCTGTGTGCGCGAGGCCAGCTCTCCACCCCAGCTGCCTCCCAGCCGGCACGTTGGTGTCACCCATGCTGACTGGAAGGGAAGGGATCCACTTCATTAGAATATTTTTAAATGTGCTTAGGTATATTGTAGAAGTTACTCTATATGTAATTATAATTTTTTCTGCTTTGGAAAACTTATAATCTCAAAAGAGGAAACAGCAACATTTAGTCCACTGTCCTTAAATGTAATCTTTTATTTTTAAAGCTGTTAACACACATAAGAAACATCAAATTTAATTCCCTAAACCAATTACCATTTCCTTCTGTATTCTTGGAGAAAATAATAAAAACCAAGTGGTTTCCGTTTTCTATCAAATAATGACTTAGTAAATCATAATCAATCTATACTTTCATTTTTTGTATAAGAGAACAAAACATTAACTCTGCTTAGAGATAAACAGAAGAGTAACTGATTAAGTACAAAATGATTCTGAAAGTAATGAAAAAGTAACGAAAATCCTGCCCTTTCTGCGTGATGACACTCACTGCAAGATTTTCCAACTGCACTTGCTCACCAAGGGCCTGCGATTACAACTTGGTTTTCTATTTAGTTTCCACTCAACAAAGAATAGGCTTATCAACCAATTCCCAATTCGGGTCCTCTTTGGGACTAATAAACAGACATTCTGATTTACAGACACTCTCCTGTGGATCGAGCAATGTGAGCATCTCTCATAGAGATAAACCATCTTCCAGCACTCTGGTAAGCACCGTTTCTCATTTTGCAAAGCAGAGCATCAATCTCTGGCATGTACCGCACTCACACAGAACCACTCTGTAAAGCCCTACTGAGCATGCAGCTGGCTTCCTGGGGAGACACATACGCTCTTCACTGCTTAGAAATGCAGCAGTCCCAGTATACGTGCACACACTTAGGATTATCCCAAGACAAGTAACTTTGTGACTGAACACATGAAAAAATATTGTATTTATTGGAGTTTAAAATTCTTCATAGAGATTATATGCCAGGAATGAAACGCATTAAATATATTCATTCTATTTGAAAAGTTTTACCAGAATGTCCCAACTTTACGACTAATAAATTAGAAATTTACCTAAGTGTTGTTACATGTGTCAATTTTGTTTAATTCTGGAGCTGTCCATCAAGAGACAGAAAATAATGGCCCTGTTTTCTAGAAATGTTTAAAAAGAGATGAACTGACAGCGATATGATCTGTACGTCCATGTTTTTTGGATAAGGTAACCATTCTCCATTTCAGCATGTCACTTTTCATTTAAGGACCTGAAAAGACTGTCCCTGCCAAGGTGGTGTTTACCTTCATTTACCAGAACTGCTCTGGCAGCGCTTTGGCTGGAATGTATTAGGAATCCCCAAAAGGATACTGCTTGGCAACTTCCTCCAAGACATAAAAGCACTTTGTAAACAATTTTAATATTGTTTTATGAAGGATCAATTGAGCCTTCTATCTTTTTGAAAGTGTAAAATGAGTATGTTGTTCCTGTTATATTCTAAGACCCCAGAGTTTTATATGCAGCCTACTTCACGAGAACAAACAATCATAGAGTTAAGCATTCTACTCTTAACTAGAAGCTAACTACTGCAAATAAATTATAACAAAATATGAAGTTATAAAATCAGTTCTCAAATGCAAAAGTGGCTATGTTTAACAGAAATATAAGAACCCTGGCAGATTGCTATTCTAACATCCCAATTCTGGACAGTCTGTAGTAAAAAACAAAACAAAACAAACAACTCACAAAAACTGTATGATTAGTCTGGCTTAGAACCAGATGGACCATGCTAGGAACCACGCAGCACCATCAACCACGTTCTCAGTAACAGGAAAGCACACAGGAGGCGTGCCAAGAACAGACTTAGGACCATCAAACTGGCAGTCGCTCTCATGAAGCCAAAAGCACTGATCTGGGTCAGGATAAAACATTTTAAAATTTTAAAGGACTTCATCAGCCCTTACTTATGATGGTTTCTAAAAGCACCAGTCCAAATGCAGAATTTAGTACTTCAAAACCTTGCAAAATAAATTCTAAAAAGACTTAGTAAAGTAGCTTTTAAGAATTTACTTTTTTAAAAAAAGTTTACTTTTAAATGCATCTGTTGCTCCAGGTGCGAGGTTTTTGTCTGGATGAAACTTCAAAGCAAGTTTTCTGTAAGCTTTTTTCAAATCTTCATCACCTGCATCTTTCGTAACTCCAAGTACTTCATAGTAATTTTTACATTTGTTTATGCTGTAAACAGAAAGAATGTCATGTAAATTTCAAGGAAGAATGGCACTTAACATCTTTTTTAAAAATTTTTTTTAGAATAGTAAAATGAACTATCTGTGAATTATTTTCTCAAAATGTAATGACGGTCTCCCTCTTCAGGTTAGTTTGCTTCCCCGCACTGTGGGCGCAGACCACTCCTCCAGCCTTTTCCCAGACTACGAGGAGTAAGCCACCAGAAATGTCCTTTATGCAAAGCCCACGGAAACTGCAGATGACGGACAACACACGGGGGATAGAAACAGTATCACAGAACTCTAAAACGGTTAAAAAATCTCAAAAACTTCTCAAGAGCATGTCACAGTTAAGAATGAAGATACATTTCAAGGCTGCATTCTTATAGAATGTTGATCCAGCTAAGTATCAAAGCAACAGTTTAGTATATGCAGCACAATTACAAAATCCAATGGTTTAAATGTCAAGAGAAATTAACTTAGCACCATTATGTGAAAGGGTGTTTATCTGAGTTACTCTTTGAAAGACGCCAGGTCCTGTGTAGTGAAATACAGTAACATACAACATAGGACCCAAAGATGATTACTAAACCCAATCTCCATTTGTACTTTATAACTGAAACAGATTTAAGCCTAAAGGATTTAAAGTATATTAGGAACAGAAAACTACTCCAAATGGAGCAGAGAACAGGAAGCTCTATCACAGAGACCATGGTTAGGCTGTCCCAGAGCGGCATAGAGGCATAAAGGCCGAGAGCCTCTGGGCTCACTCCAGCACAGCGCGGCACTCTGTGACTCTAGGAGTGAACCATGGCCTGGCCTTCCAATGGCAAGAGTGGAAACAGATAAAGTAACCTAACGGTTTTCTCTGTAACTACTGAACCTAGGAGCCAGCACAGCGCTCGGTTCAGGACAGACGCTGGGGAAATAGTTTTGGAATGAACAAGCCTTAGCTTTCCTTCATGATGAAGTATTCACTATTTGTTATATGAACTAGAAGGAAAAAGAGACAGTATTATGTAAGGCTGTAGAAATGTACAGAACTTCTTATAATCACATCAACAAAAATTCATTGTGCCGTTTTCAAAAATTAGTTATGTGTGTTTGTTTTTCCCTCACGGATTGGGGATTGAACCCAGGCCTTTGCACTGAGCTTTATGCCAAACCTTTTACTTTTACATTTTTGTAATTTTGAGACAGGATCTCAAGATGTTGCCCAGGCTGGACTTGCACTTTTAATCCTCCTGCCTCAGCCTTCCAGAATTTTACAGGTGTGTACCTACATGCCCAAAGAAAACTAGTAACAATTAAAACTGCATTTTCCCCTACTTGAGGTACTTAAAATAAAGTATTAACACAAGACAGTTTTATTTCAACAGCAGTCAGAAACATACATGTCAACCCTGCTACAGTGTTCTTGCAGCACTTGAAACAGATTAGTAAACACAACAGAAACCCTCACCTTGAGAGCCTTTGAGACATTTAGAGACACCGAGACTGAAAAAGACAGTGAAGAACCAGTGACAGCCGCAGAGCACAACTAAGCTTGGGGAACGGTTGGTTTCGCAGGCTGTGCCCGCACCTGCGCTGAGCACAGCGCGAGCTCTGAAAAACCCAAGTTATTCTAAAACTCAACTTGAGCTTTCAGAGGTACAATTTGGTCCAAAGGGAAACGAAGCTATTGTGGTCCTCATTTAACCTATTTCTGCGAGTTTATTCCGCTGCCGAGTTCCCACCCCTGGGCGCTGCCCCACGCCCTATTAAGGGGACGCCTATCCTGTCTAACGGGACCACCTTTCTGAAGGTGAAGAATTCCAAATTCCAAACTACGTCTGGTCACAAAGATTTCACATAAAGTGTTGCACATTTTGTCGTGCTGACTATTTCCTATAGAGCACTCCTTCACTCCTCACTGGTAGGTTTTATTGCTATCTGATCATCTAGGACATCAAGGTTCTGAATGCTTTCATATAAATTGCCTAAAGTCACATGGCCAATCACGAACAGGAATCAGAACTCATTTCTTCAGTAACAGTTTACTGATTGCCTTTCTGCTAGGTGCTGTTTCAGATGTTGCAGTGGTAAACAAAAAATCAACAACGGATGGAACTGAGATCAGAGCTGCTCTGTTACACATGGTGATTAGGAAGCTCGGAGTAAGGATTCAAATCTCCACTCCTCTGATTTGAGCATCTTGCTACCCAGAACCCTACAGGGAGCTGTCAGCCCACAGGGGCCGTCCCCCCTCTCCACTCCCTTCCTGCAATCAGGACTGGCCAGGCCCTTCCCTCGGAGGTGCCGGCCGGAGGTGCCTGCAGAGGCTCATGGCCTGCCGAACTGGCTGCTACACCTTCTTCAGATCTCAGCTTAGCTCCTCTTTCCTCCCAACCCAAAGCCCCTTGTCTACTTCCAAAGCCTGTTTACTTGTGTGATTACTCTCCTGGAGTGGAGGCTTTCTGAAGGCAGGATTGTGTGCTATTTATCGTGTGTGTTGAATAAGCAAAGGGTGGACAGAGGACGGTGCTCAACCTGAGGGGAGGCGTGGTGAGACATGTTCAGACCCCAGTGACGAAAGCTACCATGAAAATGCAGGGACACTAAAATCACTTTGAAATAGAAAAAATAAATAAATACAGACTATGAGACAAGGACCAGATGTAAGAATAAGGTAGGCATTAAAAACTTTATTATTTTACTTGACCATATTGATATTACTATTCCAGATTATATCTGCTATTTCCTGAGATTAAAAGACTGACAGTGTAGGAGAGGGTTACTAGATAATACAGGACAGGCAGACAGAATCCTCAATGCTCTAGGTTAGTTCAGAGGACTAAGAACTGCCAGAGAGGAGAAAGACCAGATGGGAAAAACCACCTTCACTAATTCTCAAATGCATCCAGCTCTGCCATGTCTTCCCCGCTGAGGAAAAAACCTTGAAAAGCCAGCAGACAGCTATAGTCATCACCACTCATGGACAAGATAAAGACTTCGTATTTCAAGTGATGCTTCAAACGGGTTCTTCACCCAAGGTGCACATCTGAATTAGAACAGCACACACATCTCTAATGTAATCCAGTCACTCGTATTTTATGGCATCAGCTGTGTGCACCCGTCACCTAATGCAGTCTGCTCATTCCCAAAGAGTCAAGCCTGCCTCAGCCTTACCACGACATTTTTTTAAAAAGATGTGGACTCTGGCTGTCTCTTGCCATGTGATGCCCTGGGGCTCAGCCAGCAAGAGGGCCATCCACACATAGCCAGCCCCTCAAGCTTGGGCAGAACCATCAACCTACACCAACTTCCTGGCTTTGTAACAAAACAGCGGGCCACACGCAACAGGGGAAACACATTACAGAAAGGGGTGTCATCCAGCAACGTCAAAAAGGCCCAGCTGGAATTTAATGGAAGAGCGTGTCTGGTCCAGTCCTTGTGGTATCCTCACGGCACAAAAGCACAGCAGGCCAGGCCTGGTGGCGAACACTTGTAATCCCAGCACTTGGAGGCTGAGGCAGGAGAATCACAGAGTTCAAGGTCAGTCTGGGATACATGGCAAGATCTTGTCTCAAAAATACAAAAACAAAACAAAAAGCACAATGGACAGGAAAAGAAAGTCAACTGCTGACTATTTAAACAGACCCAAAAGCTAACTGATATTTAGGGAAATAGTTCTGAGGCAAAGGATTTTTACATTTAGCAAAATGGTTTAGCTTCTTTTTATTTAAAGAACTGGAGCCCAGCTACTCAGGAGGCTGAGGCAGGATGGTGACTTCCAGTCTAAGCTGGTCAAGCAAGGTAACACAACCAGTGAGACCCGGCAGCTTACATCAGATCTTCAAATCCGCCCAATTCAAACAAGTTACCAGTTGCTCCTAGATGACAAAAATGTAGGAGTCCAGGAAACGACTTCACATCCATCGTTATATTCCTAAAATATGCGATGACCTTTTTTCAGCGCCCTATTAGAAACTTCTTCAAGTAAGATCTAAGACAATGCTTTCCTCAGTTCTTTTTTAATGCATTCCAACTCAAAGTCAACGAACAGAGCTCAGTACCACAGCAGATCAGTTTTCAAAGTCACAGTTTCTCCCGCTTCCTGTTAGCTGACTTCCACTTATGCAATGAAGGCCGTGTTGTTGCACGGCTTTTCCCACTGAGCCACACTTACTGTGCAGCTTGTTTGAGAGCCCTGCTCCTCAACTAGACAACATGCTTCCTTGAGAACACCCCTTGTATGCAGGTAACAACAGAACAAAAACACTCATCAGTAAGCGCCCGCTCTTGATCTGATCCTTCAGTACGCCACACCTGCAGGGGCCAACGCCACGAATCTGCTGGACAACTCAGAGAAGCCAGTGAGCCCTACGGACTCCAATCATAATTGTCTCTAGAAGAAAAAATATGTGCATTTCATAAAAAGACTCTAAAATTACTGACTCAGGGAAATCAATCTCTAATTCAGGTTCCTTACTAATTTTTTTCTAGTCAAAGATAGACTTTATTGTAAGTTTCTAAGAAATACACATGATAAAATAGGATAAAATAGAATGTGGATGAAAACAGTCAAATTCAATAGTACAGAAAATCAACCTACTGATCCACTTTCTACAACATATGAAGGAGAAAGGAAAAAAGGGATGGGGTGCTTGTGATATAACAAATGAAATGTGAAAAACATTAATCAAATGGCTGCAACTTATGGATGGATCAATATGGGTGAATATAATTTAGCCCCTAATACTGAAACATTTTTTTTAACAAAAACCCATACAAATGCTGCATATTTGATGATGTGCTATATTTGCTTTGGTTTTTATTTCCGACAGGCTCTCAGTAGGTAGATCAGGTTGGTTTAACCTGTGTAGCCCTGACTGTCCTTGAACTCACAGCGATTCTCCTGCCTCAGCCTCCCTAGAGGGAGAACTGCAGGCATGTGTGCACCACCACACCCAGCACCGCTTCACACAACTCTGACAGGATAGGTGGAGTACACTGAGTGTGTGTGTGTGTGTGTGTGTGTGTGTGTGTGCGCGTGTGTGTGTGTGTGTGCGCGTGTGCGTGTGTGGGGGGAGGGGGACAGAAACAGGACTGGCTGAACGCTGATAATGGCGTAAGCCAGATGTTGGGACATGGAGTTCCTCACGTAGTTATCTGATTTTATGTTTCTATGAGCACTTTTACATTAAACAGTTTAAAAGTATGCTTTTAATTTTACTAGCTTTATAAGTACCTATATCTGATATTTCACCAGACCTTATTGTAAAAAACATTCTCATGGATAAAATCATCTTTTCAAGGAATTATGAACAGAGCCCCCAGGAGTACTGAAATAAAGTTAAATGACCAAATTTAGGAATTAATTACTAAAAAATTTTGGAAAGATACAGATATCCTGCCTGGTTCACAAGGCGCCAGGAACCTCAAATAGACGAGAAAACCTCAGCACTTCCATGGTCACAATGCAGGACTCCAGACAGCAGACAACCCTCAAGTCACCTGCATCCACAATGAAGCACTGTTCACTCACAAAGAACAGAATTACAGCGTCTCCAGGAAAATGGACGAAACAAAGCTAAATGAGGAGCTATGTGCAGTGTGATGGCACTCGCCTGTATTCCCAGCACTTGGGACGCTGAGGCAGGAGGACTGCCATGAGTTGAACGTCAGCCTGGGCTACATAAGTGAGTTTAGGCCTGTCTACACTACATAGTAAGACTCGGTCTCAAAAAAGAAAAAGAAGTCAAGTATTGAAGTAAATTGTGAAAAATGTATTATTTGATTTCCATTTGTGTAGTTTCTGTATCTTTTGTTGTTGATTTCTACTTTCATTCCATTATGATCTAGCAGGATGCAAGAGATTATTTTAATTCTTTTGTACTCATTCAGACATACTTTATGACCTAAAACACAATCTATTCAAGAGAAAGTTTCATGCTCCAATGAAAATATGTATTCTGTGTTACAGAAGGAAACACTCTGAAGATATGTTAAATGTTAGTTCAACCCTGATACTTTGTTGACTTTTTTTTTTTCTTATCATCAGTATCGGGGATCGAACTCACAACGGCCTGCTTGCAAGGCAGGTGCTTATGCTGCCGAGCTAAATCCCCAGCTCCACTTTGTTGACTTTTTTGTCTAGTCCATAGTTAATTTGTAACAACAGATTATTAAAACTTGTTCCTCCCCTAATATGACTGTTTTGCTGTCTATCTGTAATTTTTGTTTTGTGAAACTGTGTGTTTCACATTCAGTGCATTTTTATTTACAATTGTTACTGTTTCCTTTATTAGTATATAGTAACCTTCTCTGTTTCTTGTGATTCATTCTGATTTGAAGTCATCTTTGCCAGAAACTAGAACAGCTACTCCTGCCGGCTGGTGGGACCCAGCTGCCTGAAGTACTGCTTCCTTCACTTTCACTTCTAGTCTCTGTGATGAAGTGAGTCTCTTGCAGGCAGCATGTCATTGGGTCCTCTTTTCTGACCCAGTCTTCCAGCCTGTGTCTTTTGATTAGGGAATTAAGATCACTGTCTTTGGGACTGACTCCTGAAAGGTATTTACTAGCTCCTGTCACTGTATTTTTGAGCCCTGATTCTTTTAGTTTAACTACTTTTACAGTTAGATGCATTCTTTCCTCTGGGTTCTTGGATAATGCTGGCTTTGCTGCATGTAGGATTCTCTTGAGTAATTTCTGCAATGCTGTTTTGCTGGTCATGAATTTCTTTGGTTTCTCTTTGTTGTGGAAGGTCTTTATTTCTGTCAAATTTGAAGAATAATCCTGTAGGACACTACTGGCATAGAAATATTTTTCTTTTAGGGCTGACAAATCTTCATTCCAAACTCTCCTGGCCCTCAAGGTTTGTGCTGAGAATTCTGTTATTCTGATAGGTTCATTGATATACATTACTTGGCATTCTCGTAAAAAGTCAGCAGTCTTTCCTTGTTCTGCGTTTTTGTCATCTGGCTAGGATGTGTCCCGGGGAAGCTCCTTTCTGCTTGTGTGTAGTTGATTTCAAATACCTCCTTACCTGGGTATCCATCTCATTCCCTAGGTTTTAGAAATGTTTCTGAAATGCTTCAATGAATAAAATTTTATGCTATTAGAGTCTCTCTTCCTAACCCTAATCCTTAGGTCTTTCTAGTTGTTTCTTACTGTTTTCTGAGTATCACTGAGTAAAAGGTCTGCTACATTAACCTTATTTGCAAATCCTGATAGCCTACCTCATGACTGATCATACCCATTGCCAGTATTTTTCAGTTTTTCATTTCATTTCTTTTCTTTTTTTGACACATGGTCTTGTTAGTTGCTAAGTTGCACAAGCTGGGCTTTAAACAAGAAATCCTCCTGCCTCAGCAGTTTTTTTCATTTCCAGGACTTCTGCTTCTTTTCCAGTTTCCAATTTGTTTACTAAAATGGTCACTCGATCCTGTACTTTCTTTATTAAATCATCCAGTCATTTATTTGTATCTTCCGTAATCTCACCCAATACCTCATCAACCGACAAGGTTAGTGTCTTTTTGCCTCTTCTGTGACCTCAATAACTGCTCCACTCACCTGAGGGTTTGACTCCTAGCAGGCTTTGAAGGCCAGGTTGTGGTCTCAGAGCCCTGGGCCTGGGCTGTACCTTGGAGCCTCCTGGACATTGTTTCCTCCCAGCCACCCCCTTGCCACTGGGTTGAACCCTGTGCCCAGATGCAGTGGCCGATAGAGCCTAGGGCTCTGCAGGCTCTTGGCTAAATTAGTTCCTCCAGCCTCAAGGACCCTGTGACCCCCAGCTTGGTTGGGACCTCAGCGATCTTCCCACTAGTATGCTTCTCTGTGCTGCAAGTCGGCTTCAACCCTCACCCACTGCTCAGAAAGCAAGCTCGCCTCCAGGCCACAGAGAGTGGGGCTGCACATGCAGCCCCATGTTCTGTGTACATGAGCCCCTACACCACTGCCACCCTTCACTCCCTACCCTGGGAATGTCCCCAGCAAAAGCTGGGGCCTCTGGGCATTGCAGAAACACACACCAACACTCGTATGCACATGTCCCCACCCCCAACAACACTAACACAAAGACCTAACAAAGATACAACCCTGGCAGGGGCTACACACCTGCAACCCTCGCACTCTGGGAAGATCAAGTTTGAATCCAGCCCAGGCAAATGAGCAACTCAGACTCCATCTCACATTTTAAAAAATAGAAAGAGATGGGGATGCAACTTGGTGCAAAGGGCCCTGGGTTCAATTCCCCGTCTTGGAAAAAATCTTTTTTAAAATTTTTAAATATCCAGAGTTAGTTTCTCCATATCTATCTTATTTTAAACACTTTTTTCAACACTGCAAAGTTCCCAATTCCCCCAGAAGCCACTGGGATGGAGGTCCTACCTGAGAACGCCCTCCACCTGGTCGCGGGTGTAGCCCTTCCCGCTCTCCGTGGCCCCAGACGCGCCGTCCTTGGCGCCGCTGGCCTTGCTCTGCTCCCCGCCCCCCGCGGGCTTCCGGCAGTGCGGGCTGCTTCCAGCAGTGCTTCCATTTTTCATAATCACTTCCAACAGTGCTGCAGAAAGAGAAGGACACCATGTCTCGCCACACAAACAGATGCAGGTGAGATCCTGATCTACCGTGGGCTCTTCATACGTGGCAAGCATTTGCTTATGTACCCAGCTATTCAGAGAATGTCAATCACCATTTTAGAGTAAAAGTGCAGTTTCATTCAAAGCCAGGCATAGGAGGACACACCTGTAAGCCCAGCACTGGGGAGACTGAGGCAGAAGGCTCACGGTGCGTTCAAGGCCAGCCTGTACTACAAAATAAGACCCTGTTTCAAAAAACCAAACCAAAACAATGAAAAATAGCTCCTCAAATTTTCACAATGACCAATGTCCAATGACTTACGACACACTTTTACTGATCACATCATAGCGAAACTGTAGAACAACAAAAACAAGATAGTCTTTAAAGCAACCAATGAGACTACCTACAAGAAACAGAAACGAGAACTTTTTGTTTCTCAGGGCAACAGCCAAAGCCAACAGACACTGAAACACAATCTTGGAAACATCAGAAAAAAGTAACTGTCAACCTGCATCCTTTAAGAACTTTCCAGAAAGTACCTGAAACACAAGCATTTTCAAGCAAACGTCGGTGCTCAGTGGAAGCCCCGCCCAAGGCCATGACAATACAGGACAGTGCTAGCGAGGCTGCGGTGCGTGTGCTACCTCTGACCATGCAGGTGCGAGGGGACGTCAGGAGGGTCTGCTCCCTCCGCACAACCTTAAGAAAAGAAAGAAAGAAAAAAAGAAAAGACAGACTGTATCTTAGAACTTGTATGTCAACTAAATAGTCACATATAAAAGAATTCACATCCCTTGTTGTAGTCAGGGGTTGTGCAGAGAACAATCTGAATCAGGACATAGAATTAAATGACTATTTTACGATGCTCACCAAGACTTAAACACAAGAAAGTGCAGGAAATCTGTCCACAACACTAAAGACCTGGAATATTCAGCCACGGGCCTAGATCCCACAGCAGTGTCTACATGAGTCCAGATGAAGACCTAGAGCTCACGACAACGCCTTCCATGAGTCCAGCTGAAGGTCCAGAGCCCACAAGAAGGAGTCATGCCAGTCTGTTTTACAGATTCGTGCTGGGAAGGCCCAAAGGTCAGCAGGGGAAGCTTGAAAGTCTATGTCAGCGGGGTGAAGGAGCTCTGCTGACAGTCTGAGGGTTCTACACTGGAGCCAAGAAGTCAAACTCACAACAAAGACCAGGGCTGTTCTGAAAAGTACCACAGCCATCGTCAGCAACACGGATGCCCCGAGCTCCTCCAAAGATAAGCACAGTGGAGACATGCCAGGAAGCCAGCGTGACGATTCATCCTGGAGACCAAGTGGCACACGTCTTCCCCTCCGGAGCCAGGAGGCGATGCTCAATGTAAGGACCAGAGCTCCCTCAAAGTGAACCACAGCCACCCTCACTAACAAGGCCCCGAGCTCCTCCAATGACAATGGTGACTCACACTGGGGAAGCTAGTCATGATGAGCTCCTCCAGGAGAATCAACAGCTCACAACAGCAACACTTAGAGACACGCACAATGCCTCACTCCTCCTCTCCACATCTCTGTTCATGCTGGCAACTTTCCTCAGGTGGAACATTTACTTTCAGCACCATGCTGATGTAATTCAGGCGTTAAGTTTTAATCCGTAACATCCTTCATCCATGGTATTCAAAAATTAACTCAAAATAAAGCATACACTGAAATAAAAAGCTAAAAGTATAAAACTCTAAAACGAAAGGACAAGAGTAAATCTTAGTGACCTTAGTTTGGCGAAAACATGTTTAAATATGACAATGAAAGTACAAAGAAGACAGACAGAGAAAATTGACTTCAAAATTAAAACTTTTACACTTTAAAAACTATTGGTAATAGATTGACAATACAATCCACAGAAGGAAAAATACTTGCATATTATATATCTGGTAAAAGAAATGTATCTCTTATAATTTAATAACAAAAAGAATAAAAATCCAATTTTAAAACCTGGATAAAGAGCCAAACACACTACGCTCCTAGCTACTCAGGACGCTAAAGCAGGAGGCTCTTTTGGGCCCAGGAATTTGAGGCCACCAGAGCAAGACCCTCTCCTTACCCTTGCCTGCTTGAAAAAGAAAAAGAAAAACAACACAAACAAACATGGGCAAATAATCTAAGTAAACATTCTCTGAGAGACAGAAAAATGGCCAACAAGCACATGAAATAGTTACTGAATATCTGAAATGAAAATTGAAACCACAAGATACCACTTCACACCCAGCAGTAGAGTGGTTATAGTCAGAAAGGACTGCCAGCAAGAGGGTTGGCAAACATGAAGAGAAACCGGTGCCAGCCACACACTGTACCACTGCTGCGGAAACGTGAAACAGTATTCTCCCTTGGAAAATTATCAGGTAGTTACTTAAAAGGTTTAACATACAGTAATCATGTGACCAGCAATCTCATTCCAAAGTAAATACCCAAGACAAACGAAGACATGAAAACTGAGTCACGAATGGTAAGAGTCACATTATTCATGACGACAAAAAGGAAACAAATATCCACCAACTAACAGATGAGTAAATGTGAATGATCCAGATCACAGAACATGACTGAAAAAAAACCAGTGACACATGCTAAACACGGATAAACTGCGGCAACATTATGCAAAGCAAAAAAAGCTAGTTACAAAGGACCGTATGCTACATAATTCTGTTCACATGAAACAGGGCCATATAAACAGAAAGGTAACTGGTCCAGAATGAAGGGTAAATTTATGGTTAGCAGGATTAGCTGTTGCCAAAATCTGGGGTACTGGGTCACGACCCTCTCTGTAGCCAAGGATGAGAGGCAGGACACAGGGGAGCTGCCATAGGACTCACAGGACTGCTAGGCGCGTCTGTGAACGCACTCAACCCCCACCGGACTGTGTAATTTACATGAGAAAAGCCAGGCTAGAGAGGAGCTCAGTGGTACAGTGTGTGGCTGGCATGTACAAGGTCCTAGAGTCCAATCCTGGCACTTAAAAATGAAGGAAGAATTGTATGGTATGTGAACTACATCTCAATAAAGCTATTTTAAACATATTTTTAAAATTTCAACAATGCTGCAGACAACCTTGTAAACATGCAGGTATTTATTATTTCTATAAACTTCTTTCTACCATACATTTTTCTAGCCAATGGATTTACGAGATCATTGAAGAGACAGAGGAAACTCAGTTTTTTATAGCTATCTAGCAGTAGATGATACAGAAAGCAATCTGTTAGCTATGAACAAGAGAAATATATTACAGTCAACTTTCAGCTGCTAGTTCAAAGTTAATGCAATCACAATGGAAGCCAGCCTGGTGTTCAAAGTATTTAAAGGTGAAAAATGCTATGTGAATTCTACAACAGCAGCTTAAGCTTTAAATCTCTCCAAACTCATTCATAAAGTCCCAGCAAGTAAGTAGCAATATCAAAACTCCATGCGCAAAATTCCCTAACACAAGAAAATAGGACCTGAGTACTATAGCATATGTGTGACAAGCAGCAGAGTATGCTCAGGGTAATCTGCCAGCCCACAGAGCAAAAGAAGCCCGTGACACCCAGCGAGGACCCTCCAGCACCACAGGCAAAACTGAGGAGAATGTGTGGACGGTCACAAGCGCACACTGGTCACTCACCACAGAGCACACTCGCAGGTCGCCATGGACTCGCAGGTAACCCACACTCTCTTTGAGACAAAGCTGTGTTGAGCAGAACTTGCTGAGCAAAGACCCACAGGAAGAGGACAACAGGCACAACAGAAAGACGGAAAAGAGAAACCCCCAGTAAGAGTGAAGAAAGAGAATGAGCTCTCACCAGCAAGGCGGCATCTCACACATCCCACACAGAGGGCAGGCAGGCAGGGTTTCTGTATGAGGAAGGCCAACTAAACCCACCTGACATAAGCTTAGAGAAAGAACACAGTAGCAGTCAAATCTAATATGAGCTGTAACCAAAATACAGAGTGAACCTTTACATTTTTAAATTTTATTGCATTAATGGTCACACTGCCATGAAACCTTCCCCCAAATCCTCCCTTCACCTGTGAGAATAACTATCCCGTCATCCTTGCTGCTCTCTGGAGCAGCTCTACAAATCCTCGCTCACGAATGTCTTTGTCAAATGTGATCAGCAGTAAACGCTGCTGCTCTGTGTTATCCAACCAAAAGGCAGACTTACAAGTGCATTACGTTACGCTCTGTCCTCATCCACTGCAGCTACCTGACCTGGCATGAGCAGCACACGTTTGCGATCAATTCGGGACATGAAGCCACCATAACAATGCAGACACTGAGAAAACAAGACGCCCAGAGCTGCTTCAAAAGTGGCAAGAATGACAGGATAACTGTGTTCAAGGTGCAGAGGGTTTTGAGAGGGATGAATGGCAATGTGTTTGTTACTGTAAAAAAATTTAAATGTAAACATTCACTGTATTTCTGAACATATCTCACGCCAATTGTAAATAAAAAAGAAATATAGGCAATGAATACGAAATACAAAAAGCTGCTAACAGATGGATGCTATACTATTTCAAATCACGCTTAAAATACTTTAAGAAATGATATATAATATAAAAAGATTGCATAAGTGCAAAGTATAACAGTCCCAGAAATAGCCCAGAAGTTAGGAGACAGAGCTTAGGGAAGCAATCAGAAGTCAAAAAAAAATCCACTCAAAGGAAGATCAAAGTAGTAGAAACAAGGGTTATAAAAAGAATTGGTGATGCTTTCACAGAAAAAGGCTAGAAAAAGGCTGGAAATTTTAACACTTCCGAAAAAAGTAAAGAAGACTAAAAGAATGAAAACGACAAACACTGAAAATAAAGAAGAGCCAACATATGTACAACAGGAGTCTTCAAGAAGAAAACTAAACAACGGAGCACAACAAATACAACAATAATTAGGCGCCTGTTTCTCTGAGCACCTGCACTCTGCTTGAGTGTGCCCAGTATCTCCCTCTAATAAACCCGCATTTACTGACACATCCTGAACAC